GAGACACGAGGCAAGATTATTCGTGTGCGAATCGTATGGTACAACTTTGAGATAGACCACCGACTGAAGATACCGGCATAGTGAACAAACAAGTCGCTATTTGTCTTCCGTCGTCGTTCGCGCTGTTCGTTATCCTGTCCATTCGTGGCCGCAGGGAACGAAAGAAAAAGTGGAGGCGTGCGGTCAGCTCGGCGACTCGGAATTAATCCGATTGCCCTTCGATCTTCGCGCACCGAACTCAACGCGGTCGAATCATCACACGTGAGTTTGGCGGAGAAAAAAAGCACCGGTTTCTTTTTGTTAATATGCATGCAAAGTTCGCTATATATATAGCATGATAGGGGAGGGGAAAGCGTATTCTACTTTTATACAATTTCAACGAAATACGCAACTATACGCAAACGAAGTTTGAGAACAGTGCCTCGTTAAAATTCGCTTATGCATAACAAATTATATTATATGGCCCGAGTCGCATATTTTTAAATTTTAAATAAGGCAAATTTACTGTCGTTTTATATACGGTAAACACAGGCCGAGACACGCAAAATTTTCAAATCATCGGCGGAAAAAGAAATGTAATTTCGTCTTTAATTAGTAGAATTCAATAAAATTTTAGATTGCAATTCTATATTATGTTATTAAAGTCTGCAAATAAAACTAACTGTTTTTATATGATTTTCAAGCAATACGATGGGATTGCTAAATATTTCTCTTAACTTAGAAAGGAGAGATCAAATCAAATGAGACCAGGTTCAATCGCATTAGGTCAGATAGACCAATATTAATTCTCAATGGCAAGATCGAGTTAGCCTGCTAGAAGCAAACTGTTTTCTTGACTCTAAAGCTCGTTAATCACACACACACACACACATACACACACAGACACAACGAGAAATAACAATTAGCGTATTTAAAGCGCTTCCCCGTGCGCCGGTTAATACAGAGTGCGAATTTTGTGCGCCGTCCCGGGATAATTTAGCGCGATTTAATATGAAGATTGACTTTTCTTTCGCACCAGACCTTTCAGTTATATAATTAGATGCGCGGCGCAAATTGCGGAAAGAGGGGAGGGGGGAGAGGGCGGA